AGAATGGGTTTGGCGCGCCCCATATCGGTGTGGCGGTGTGTGCGTCATTATTCGCGGGGGCTGCGGGGTCTGCCTCGGGGATGGCGCTTACCGGATACCGCTTTTTATCCCTTTTATTTTCGGCAAAAAGTCATAGCCTGACGCTATAGCGTGTAGGGTGCTGGATGGAGGACGGGTACGAAGTACGATGCACTAGCCCCAGCCGTCGCGGGGGGGTGTTGCCGGCGGTGGTAGACAGACTATTGCGGGGCTGCAGCAAACGACCTCTGCACTGGGCATCGCGCCCGACGCCACCGCGCCCGCCTGCAGGACGGCTCCAGGAACGGTCTAGGAACGGTCTAGGAACGGTCTAGGACAGGCATCGCGCCCGACGCCACCGCCGCCCGCCTGCGCGACCATCATCAGCGGGTAATCTCGGGTAATCTCGGGTAATCTCGAGTAATCTCGCCTGCGCGACCATCATCAGCGCGGCGGCGGCGAGGGCGAGGGCGGCGCGGCGCGGCGGCGTGGCGGCGGGGCCGAGCTCGAGGGCGGCGCCGAGGCCGAGCAGCTGCAGCGCCGACCGGAGCCGGATCCAACGCCCGGCCGGAATCAGCACGGCCGGCAGGGAGAGCCTGTGTCGCGCATACGCCCACAGATGAGGGCGGGGAGACGGCACTGTGCGGGGCACTCGGAGCAGCGCGTGAGTACGAGGGGGGTACGAGTGCAGTGAGGACAGCGGAATACGGCCGCGTGCGGCGGAATGCAGCGGAGTGCGTGTCCTCTCGAGCGCTAGTCGGGATTCAAGAGTCCGTGCTCCGCTCCTAGCAAGGAGAGCCTGTGTCACGAGGGCCCCAGAGTCGGGGGAGAAGAGGGAGGAGGTGGGAGCGTCTCACCACAGCTCAGGTCAGGTGGAAGGCTAGGACAGTGCCGGACTTGCAATCTAGACTTGCAATCTAGAGGGGGGTGTTGGTGCAGCCGCCGAGGGCGGTGGCGGCGAGGGCGGTGGCGGCGAGGGCGGTAGCGGCGAGGGCGGTGGCGGCGAGGGTGGTGGCGGCGAGGGCGGTGGCGGCGAGGGTGGAGGCGAGGGCGGCGGTGGTGAGAGCGGAGAAGGAGAGGGTGGAGGCGACGAGGGCGGCGCGGCGGTGACGACGGTGGCGGGGGCGAGGGAAGGCAGCGCCGCGGCCGTGTGCTCAGGCCCTCGCGAGAGTACATTCGGTGCGAGTGGCAGCGGGACGCAGTGGAGAGCAGGGAGATGCAGCCGAGGAGTCGTGCCTCCCTCTCGAGTGCTGGCCGGCGCATGGCCGGGTCTGTCTCAAGCTTCTAGGCGGAATACACTAGGCGGCCTCCGGTGGTGCGCCGATGTGTGTGTGCTAGAGTGCGCCAGTCCACGCCCTCGTCGTGCCAGTGCGCTGTGAGAGAGAGGGTTGGCTTCTAAGAGTCTCTAGGCTGCGCGCGCCAAGCGCAGGCGACGCACTGCAGCGCGCCAAAGAGCAGCGCGAGGGCAGCCCCCCCGCAGAAGGCGGCGGCGCGGCAGAGAGCGGCAGCGAGCGCGCGTGCGAGGGACGCGTCCTCGCGGCTCGTCTCGTCCACCGCGGCCGCATCGCCCTCCTCCTCGACGCCGCCCTCGCCTGCGGCCCCCGGCGCGAGCGAGAGGCGCAGCGCTTGCGCGCGGAGAGGCAGCGAGATGCCGTCGTAGAGCCAGCCCAGGCCAAGGTAGTTGAGGGTGAGGCAGGCGCGGAGCGCCGCGCGCGGCCGGCCGAGGTACACGTGGTGGAGGCCTGCCGCCCGCGGCCACCGTGAGAGGCGTTCTGTGTGTTCTTTCGCCGAGGAGAGGAGCGGAGAGGGTGCGGAGTGCGCACCGAGGAGGCCGAAGAAGAACCACAGCGTGTACGCCTTGAGAGCGAGGAGGGCACCACCCGCCGTATCCATCACACCGCCCTTCGTCCACCAGGAGCGCACGGTTTCCGAAACGGCTCCGACATTTGCGGCGGCCGCGCTGCCCGATAGTCGGAGTGCGCCTGTGAGGCCGGAATTTATGACCTTTGAAAAGTGTGCTGCGAGGCGCAGGCCGGCAAAGCTGTGAGTGCTGCTGGGATGTCGACGCGTCTTGATCGATGGAGGAGGTACGGCTGACGGAGAGATGAAGCTGCTCTCGGGAGTGTGCAGCAGAGGGGGTTCGGACGAACGCACCCATCTCCGCGAGAGCGCGCCCGTCGACCGCGAGCAGCGTGGGCTGTCTCCGCACGCCGCGCCCTGGGGATTGGTCCGGTGCGCCGTCGGCAAGCAGAGCGACAAGTAGCAGCGCCCGGAGCGCCATCGAGGTAGCGTTCCTCATTGGTTCAGCCTGGATTCGGTACAGTACTTCATTGGTACACCACTGCTCGTTCTCAGCGCAGCGCTCTTGCATTCACACCCGCACAGCACCCTGAGGTATTTTTATGTTCCCCCACCCGGGTGGGGGAATTTTATATTTAGCAATATGAGCCGCCGTCCCCACTCGAACTCGAGTCCGCCGACCGCTATAGGTCGAGCGGGGAGAGAGGCGCTGCCTCCACGGCGGGGACGGAGGCGACACCTCCGTCCCCACCGCCATTGGTTCGAGCGGCAAGCCTTAGGTAGAGTGGGGACGGAGACGTGGAAAAGCGTGCTTGTGAGTGGAAGCCACAAGCGCGCTGGCTCCGGTCGTTTGTAAATGACGCCAGAGGCCGGGCCGACTGGCGGACCTGCATGCCCACAGCCATGCCCCCCACTCCCCACCCGCTTGGATCGATCAGCTGACAGCTCCACCAGCTCCCACCACCGCGTGTCGTGTCATGAAGCATGATAGATAGGCTTTAGAAAGCATGAACCATCGAAAGGTCTGATCTCCAAAAAGAGCTGTCGGCCTGCCGCGCGCGCCCGCGCCCCGCCCCTTTTGCGCAGCAAAACCTTAAACTTCATGGCCCTCCAAATTCGGGTCGGAGCGTAGCGGAGTGGGACCCGAGTTTGAAAAAGGCGACGGACGCTTGCGTCCTAGCCTCCAACAACGCCTCCCCGGCGCAGAGGGCCCCCGGAGGGATGCACAACCGCTCCACGCCACGCCGCTTGCGGCGGTCCTATTCCCAGCTCACGGCGCCACTTCTTATTTGGACCCTTGAATGTACTCTCCTAAGCTGTGAATCAGACGCACTTGCCTTCGGGGGCCAATCCCGCTAGGGTGGGCGTGCTTTCACAGCCTCACGAGAGTACCTTGAATGGGTGGCTGTACTCTTCACTGAGCCCACGGCCACGGAGCTGGCCTTGCCATACCGTCCGCCTTGCGAGCGTGCTCACGCACGATCCTGGGCTCGTGCTTGCACGCGGTCGCAGCGTCATCAAGGCTCCACGCCACGACAGGACCGGCCATGCCGGGTGGCGTCCTCGCAACATCTGGAGAGGTGGGCAAGGCCTCTGAGGAGGCGTGGGGCGTGCTGACGGTGAGCAACAAGATCGCTCCCGCGGCGCCAAAGCGGCGTGCGCGTGGCGGCAAGGCCAGCCGCGCGCGCCGGCTCGAGAACTTCCGGCAGCACAAGGCTGCGGCACCTGCGGCTGCTCCTGCGATCAAGTGGGAGCAGCTCGCCCACGGCCTCTTGCGTCAGCAACGCGCGACTCTGCGCGACGGCGCGCGAGCTGCCTGGGTGCGCATGCGCGCCGCTCGCGCGAAGATCGGCGCGGCGGTGCGGAGCGCGCGGAGGTGTAGGTCTCTGCTCGCGCGTCACCTCGAGTCCCTTCCCACTGCTTGATCAAACCCTTGGCCCTCTGATGTCCAGTGCAGCACATGTCTCTTGGTGTGTGTGCTGTGGGCCCTTCTTGTCTCTGCAATAGACCGTGTGAGGTAACACCTACCTACCTACAATCGTCGACGGCAAGCTCGAGAACTGCGCCTCTCCTAGGCCTCTCCAAATAAGTCGCCCAGATGTGCGCCTCTCGCGGCGCGCTGAGTTAGTATCGCCGGTGTGCCAGCCGGCTCTGCTCCACAGCAGGGCATGCCTGACTGGCTCCTGCTAGCCGTGCGTCCTGGTGGCATCCATAGCCAGCTCAAGTAGCCCCAGGTGCCAGGAGGTCGCCTCGCGCACGACTCGGCGCCGCACAGCACCGCGCTCCGCGTTACTACCGAGTTAGCACCCGATCGCGTTGGGGCACAGAGCGCACTGTTGCTTTTGCAGCGCCTCTTGTTCCCAAGTTAACCCAAGAGGCGCTCGGACACACGTGAACGAAACGGAGGCGGTCCTCACTGGAGGCGCCTGCCCTGGCGCTGGCCCCCTGCCCCAAAACGAGATGAGAAATCCTTTCCGGGCGTGGGGGTTTACACGCACAGGCTCTCATTTCCTCCCTTGGGTTGTCTGTTTTCTTTCTTTTAGGCTCTCATTTCGTATCACTACCGCGGTCGTGCCACAAGATTAAGGCGGCCATGCCCCCCCGCCGCACACGCTACGCGCACACAGACATAACACCTCTCTCTCTCTCAGACTGATCACAGACTGAAGCTGCACAACAAACAAACACCGTCCTCATAGCCACTCCGGAGCGGGAGCACGATAGCAGAGCTGCGGGGGGGAGGGGGGCGGAGGGGGCGGGGGCGGGGAGGAGCCGAAGCGCGCTCCCGGTAGTCGCTCTCGCGCAGCCCGTCTGCCGTCAGAGTGGCGGAACGGCACTGCCTCGCCCCTCCCATGCCGCCGTCCGAGCTTCACCTGCGTGCGATGGCGAGGGGGGAGCGAGAGCGAGGGGGCCTGCTCGCGTATGGCCGAGAGCGCGCCGGCGAGAGCGCGCTGTTGTCCGCAGGCCGGAGAGCCCTGCGGGCGAAAGGCGGCATGACTGTGTCGGCCCAATGAGCCTCCGGCGGCCCTACGGGGTATCCGCCGGCCAGCGCCTAGCCTTGCGCTGCGCGCTGCGGCCGGGCGCTGACCGGCGGAGCGCCTGCGGCGCAGCGCTGCGCGCGTCCTCCCCTTTGCCAGCCTCGACAGCGCGCTGGGGGAATGCAAAGCCACTGGGAAGTGACGGCCAGGAGCAAAGGAGCGGCCGGAGCGCGGCGAAAGACTGACGGGAAGTGGCCGCCGCGTACGGCCTCCGGCGGGCCTCCGGCAGACGCCTGCAGCGTGGCGCTGCCCGCGACCGGCCCCGTCTCGGTGTGCGCTGCGGGACGGCCTCGCTCAAACGCGCACCTGCCGAGGCGGGGCGGTCACGAGACCGGCTGAAATCGCGGCCACAGCTGCTTCGGGGGGTGAGGATGGCTGGCCATGATCAGCTTCTCCCGACGTGCCCGCTGGCCAGCTGGCTACGATCAGCCGTTCGGAACATATCCTGGGCGCGGCCGAGCAGCAGGCGCTGGGTACCTCGACGCAAGGAAATTTCTTTTTTCGCGCCCACGCGAACGCGCCGAGCCAAAGAAGCTCCGCGGAGCCGCCAGGCGCCCGCCGCGGCGGTTCGCTCGCTAAGGCGGGCGCCTGGCGGCGCCGCTGCGCAAAAAAGCGCGAACTGGTCACTCCCAGGCGCCAGGGGTCTTCTTTTTGCGCAGCGGCGCCCAGGCGCCCGCCCCGGCGGTGAGCGACGCGTAGCGAGCGAACCGCCGGGGTGGGCGCCTGGCGGCTCCGCGGAGCTCGTTAGGCTCGGCGCGGGCGCGGGGGCGCGAAGAAAAGAAATTTCCTCCAGTGGTCCACCCAGCGCCTGCGTTCGGCGAAGGCCGCGAAAAATTAGAGCCCGCGAAATCGCTGCTGCGTCAGGACGCGAGTACCTCGCGAGAAGCCGTTCAAGCCCGGCCATCCTCCCCCCCCGAAGCAGCTGTGGCCGCGATTTCAGCCGGTCTCGTGACCGCCCCGCCCCGGCAGGCGCGCGTTTGAGCGAGGCCGTCGTGCAGCGCACCGAGAAGGGGCCGGTCGCGCGCAGCGCCACGCCGCAGGCGTCCGCCGGAGGCCCGCCGGAGGCTGTATGCGGCGGCCACTTCCCCTCGGTCTTTCGCCGCGCTCCGGCCGCTCCTTGGCTCCTGGCCGTCTCTTCCGAGCGGCTTTGCGCGCCCCCAACATTCCCCTGACAGCAGCGCCTCACGGCGTGGGCTGCGAGGTCACTCGGGGTGACCCAGGGGGCGGCGGGGGAGCACTCTTCCGCCGGAGTATCGACGGTCTTCCCGCTACTCGCTCGTAGCCCACCACCTTCCCGGCAGCCCCACCCGCTCGGTCCTCACTTCTCCCCCCCCCCCCCCCCTTTCAGGCGAGGCCCTGGCCACCAAACTCGCGCTCGTCGTTCCGGGAACGGGCAGCAGCGCGACGCTTTTCGAGAGCGAGCGGCGGCGGCGGCTCAGCACCAACCTTTGCAACGCAGGGGCTGGCTGCGTGGGCCCCCCCCACCGGACTCCGTCGGGCTCGCGTCTCCCTACCTCTCGCGGGAGCTGAGGGGAGCGCAGTGTGTGTCTGCGTCTGTGTCTGTGTCTGTGTCTGTGTCCCTGTCGTGTCGTGTGTGTCGTGTGTAACTCTCGCACTGGCCACTGCTCTATCTTAGCTCTCGCCACAGGCTCTCACAGCGCCTCGCCCTCGCCGCCCCTCGGGGCCCTCCCCGCCCGCACGCTCGACACACGACAGAACCCGGACGACGTGCGTTTTTGCTTCTCTACAAAACACGCACACCCACGCCCGCCCCAGTGAGCGGACCCAGCGCCATCGAGAAGAAAGACTTTTTTGGCGAGCCAACGCAGCCGAGAGATAAATTCTCCATAAAAGAGAGCCTACCCGCTATAGCGGTGCAGAGCGCGAACTCGCCGTACTGAGCCTAGCGCAGCGCGAACTCGCCGTCTGAGCCTAGCGCAGCGCGAACTCGATCCTGTTCATAGCTGCGCAACCCTAGCCGAGCTCCATTTTTCATTTTTCGCAACCGGGGGATTACGCTCTGGCTGCAAGTGCTCGACGCCCCCGCGGTGAACGAGGGCGTTTTGTTCCCGGGCATTCACACTATATTCCTCTGAGATAATGTTATATTTCGCCGCCACCGCGGCGGCGCGCGCGCCTTATCCGCGCGCTATATTAGTAGAGCCAAACTTGTGTTCTTGTTTTGGGTCAAACTTGTTACAGCTCAGCGATCGCGATGCGGCCCCTGCCTAGCTTCCTGCTCCTATGCGCGAGCTATGGCGTGACCGCTATCGCGTATGGCTTCCCCTCCGGGAAGCACGGCCTCGACTACTGCATCGCCGAGGCCGACACCACCAGCGACATGACAGCGTCGACCACCATGGCACCTCCACCATGGACAAGCCTTGCACCATCTATGTCAGCCACCACCTGGGCGCCTGGCGTGTGCGAGCACAACCCTATGCGGGATGAAGGATCTGAACAATGCACTCGACCGGCCTCTTTGAGCCCGTCCGAGTCCGCCATTTGTTTCGACGATCCAATTTTTGACTTCTTCCTCGCTATTTGCAGACTTCAGACCAGTACAAGTGAGGACACGTGTGCCTCCACTCACACTACCTCCCAGGCGATGGAGCACGCGCTACAGTCGGCTCCTGAGGCCTCATCCACCCACTGCGGCCAATCTGAATTTTTGGCCCTCCGCAGCCCCGCGATACAGGTGCACTCATGGCCCAATACGATGGCGCTACAACTCATGAGGCACGGGACCCTTGCTGCGACAACCCAGCCCCATAGGAAGCCTGCGACATACATGCCGCCGCCACCTTTGCTGGGTCACCCAATGCTGCCCATTCTTCTGGGTCAGTGCGACGGGAACGGCTTCCTTTGCCTCCAAAATGTTTCACCGTGGAACGCTACATTTGACCCTACATCTTGGCAGAAAGTCCTTCCCCGGGACCACTCGGACACGTCGAGTGCAGGAGAGGCATTGCACCATGGGACATGTTCTTCTGGAACACCTCCTTCCTCGTTTCCTGGGGATTCGTTCGCTCGACCATCGACGTGTGCCTGTATATCTACCGATCTGGCAATCTTGTCTTATGGGTGCTAGTTTACGTCGACGACATACTCATCGCCGACAACTGCCCCACGCTGCGCGCCCGTTTTGTTGCCGACATCTCCAAGCGCTTTCCTACCGAGGACAAAGGCGAGCTCGAATGGATACTGAACACCGCCATCACGCGTGACCGCGGCGCACGGACCCTGAACTTGTCCCAGGGCCTCTACGCCGCCGACCTCGTTACCAAGTTCAGCGCCTATTTCGATCGGTCCCGCTCACGCCGCTTCGACTCGCCTATGGAAGAGGGGCTCGAACTGTCCGCCGATGACCAGCCCGCCGTTGGATCTGTTGAATACGACGAAATGTCCGAACTCCGCACCGCCTACATGGCCATCGTCGGCGGACTACTGTGGCTTGCCAATATGACGCGCGTCGACATTGCTTATTCCGCGTCTCAGCTTGCTCGGTTTATGACGAACCCTGGCCCGTCGCATTTTAAAGCCGCCATCCGGGTGCTTATCTACGTGCGCGACACAGCTGACCGCGCCCTCGTCATGCAGCCGAATCCCAACCGCAACCTTGAGAGCTACGTCGATTCAAACTGGGCAACGAAGTTCTCTTGCTCCGGTGGCATGTTCTTCTTCTACGGATGTCTCTTCCACTGGTTCTCCAAAATGCAGCGATCCGTCACGCTGTCTAGTGCCGAGGGCGAGGCAGAGTTCTTCGGCGCCATGCTAGCCGCCAAGGAGGTGATTTTCATCCGTGAGCTACTGATCGACCTTGGATTTTCCATCGACGGCGCCAGCGTCATCAACTGCGACAGCAAGTCCGCCGTCGGCATGGCCTTCGATCCCGTTGCCTTCAAGAAAACCAAGCACATCTTGCGCGCCGCCGAGTTTCTTCGCGATCTCGTCAGCCGTGGCGTTATCTCCGTCGAACACCTCCCCGGCGTCGTGATGCTCGCCGACCTGCTCACGAAGGCTGCCTCGCGGGCCATCTTTACTGGCCTGATCAAGCAGCTCGACGACTTTCATGCCCTTTGAATTTATTTGTCCCTCGCGCCCCGCACTCGGGCCAGGAGGGGCTGTTCCCGGGCATTCACACTATATTCCTCTTGGAGCACTTGGAGTGCAGTCGGCAGCCTCACATCCAGGGCCGGGGAGCTCAGAAGCGCACCCAGCGGGCCGGATGATCGGGATCGGGTTACGGGCTAGAGAGCCCTGACCCCTAGGGGGGGGTGCGCGTTCGCAGGGCAAGGGCCTTAAAGTAAACACAGTTCTCCGAGGGGGCTCCGTGTACCGGGTTTCCCCTTAACTGCAGAACGCCCCCTCTACTCGGAGCTAGTGGACACGGACACTACGACACCACCCGTCACGTACACACACGACTGTCTAACGTGTACACTGCCCGGCCTCGTCCCCCACCCTTCAGGGTGAATCCTCAGTCTGGTTCGGTCTCTTGCTCGCCTTTCGGGCGTCGCCCCACTGCCTTTGCAGTCGTTTCTGGTGTCTCTTCCTCGGGGGCGGTCCCTCCGCCCCACCTCCGTCGGCTAGCCCCATTGGCCCCGAGGGAGCCGACAGCCCGCTGAGATAATATTATATTTCGCCGCCACCGCGGCGCGCGCGCCTTATCCGCGCGCTATATTAGTAGAGCCAAACTTGTGTTCTTGTTTTGGGTCAAACTTGTTACAGCTCAGCGATCGCGATGCGGCCCCTGCCTAGCTTCCTGCTCCTCCTATGCGCGAGCTATGGCGTGACCGCTATCGCGTACGTTTTAAGTTTAACACGCATAGGCTGTTCGTGCCACAAGATTAAGGCGGTCATGCCCCCCCCGCACACGCTACGCGCACACAGACTGACAAAACAAATCTCTCAGACCCTGATCGGCAGGACACAGCGCACAGCTCAGGCTGAAGCTGCACAACACCAAACAAACACCGTCATCATAGCCACTCCGGAGCGGGAGCATTAGCAGAGCTGCGCGGGGGAGGGGGGTGGAGGGGGCGGGGGCGGGGAGGAGCCGAAGCGCGCTCCCGGTAGTCGCTCTCGCGCAGCCCGTCTGCCGTCAGAGTGGAACGGCACTGCTTCGCCCCACCCATGCCGCCGTCCGAGCGTCACCTGCGTGCGATGCCGAGGGGGGAGCGAGAGCGAGGGGGCCTGCTCGCGTATGGCCGAGAGCGCGCCGGCGAGAGCGCGCTGTTGTCCGCAGGCCGGAGAGCCCTGCGGGCGAAAGGCGGCATGACTGTGTCGGCCCAAAGAGCCTCCGGCGGCCCTACGGGGTATCCGCCGGCCAGCGCCTAGCCTTGCGCTGCGCGCTGCGGCCGGGCGCTGACCGGCGGAGCGCCTGCGGCGCAGCGCTGCGCGCGTCCTCCCCTTTGCCAGCCTCGACAGCGCGCTGGGGGAACGCAAAGCCGCTGGGAAGTGACGGCCAGGAGCAAAGGAGCGGCCGGAGCGCGGCGAAAGACTGACGGGAAGTGGCCGCCGCGTACGGCCTCCGGCGGGCCTCCGGCAGACGCCTGCAGCGTGGCGCTGCCCGCGACCGGCCCCGTCTCGGTGTGCGCTGCGGGACGGCCTCGCTCAAACGCGCACCTGCCGAGGCGGGGCGTTCACGAGACCGGCTGAAATCGCGGCCACAGCTGCTTCGGGGGTTGAGGATGGCTGGCCATGATCAGCTTCTCCCGAGGTGCCCGCTGGCCAGCTGGCTACGATCAGCCGTTCGGAACATATCCTGGGCGCGGCCGAGCGCTGGCGCTGGCTACCCAACCGGGGCGCGAGATCAAAGACTATAGTCGAGCGCGTCGGAGAGGTGTTTCAGATATATTTGCACTTCTCGGGTCCGAGGGCAGCCTCAACTGGAGTAGGGAAATTTGGATCTTGGTCAAACGCCTGCTGGGGGCAGCTTCGCGGAAGTATTCCGGAAGCCAGATGATCCCCCAGCAGGCACACACACACGGAGGTGACAGGGGATGGTGGTGGGTTCAAGCAAAGAAGGGGAGGGAGAGAGCGACGCGGCGAGCGCAGGCGGCGAGCGTGCACGTCGCCTGTGCGGCGTCTTGTTCACTCCCCTTTGAGCTACCTTTGTGCCCCCTTAGGGGCACCCCTCCTGCGCTGCGCGTATGGTCACCCCTCCCTTCCGCCCTGCCTGTTGTTTTGGATGCCCCGCTCCGAGAAAGCATGTCTCGCAGCTGCGAGAAAAGACCTTCTCGGGTCCGAGGGCAGCCTCAACTGGAGTAGGGAAATTTGGATCTTGGTCAAACGCCTGCTGGGGGCAGCTTCGCGGAAGTATTCCGGAAGCCAGATGATCCCACTTGTCAACAGCAGGCGCCAGCGAGCCAACCTGCTAGTAGATCTAGGATTTTCGCGTCAGTTGGCTGAGTTGCCGAGGTAAGGGGAATGATCAGAATGGCAAGGCTGGGAATGCGTTCTCAGAACGTTCAGAACACCGGCCACTGGGCCCGCCTGAGGCGCTGAGACCCGGAGCCTCTCTCTCGGCACTAGCAGCAGACAGGCACAGGGACAGTGACGCGGCTCATCAGTCCTCCCTCAGCCCGACCTCGGACGGAAGACTACAAAGGTCGCAGGAACGATCAGAGAACGGCATCCATCCAGGCGGCACCGGCCCTACGACTCGGACCGTGCCACAGCCCATCCCCCCGGGCAGCCCACCGCCCACCGCCCGGCCCCAGCCGGTCCGACCTCTTCACGCGGCGACGATCGCACCGCCGGCCGCCGCTGGCAGGGCCGCCGCCTCCGTCGGCGCCAGAACAGGCTCGAGCAGCAGCCACGACTCGTACTCTGCCGACGGCGAGCCGTCGTATACATCGACGACTCGAGCGAGAGGTCCGTCGCCGCGCCGTTGTCAACGTACGTCGAACTTGGCGACGAAGTTGACGCGGTCACGCTCGATATAGCGGGTACACCTGGTGCGGCGCGCATACTTGAGCACACCGTGGTTGGTGCAGTTGGCGCACGTGCCTGTGGGATAGGGCGCCATAGCGACGCGCGCGCTCCGGGTATTTTTCGGGTATACCTGAGAATTCTCGGGTATACCCGGGTTTTACTCGGCCGGCCACCTGGGTCGGTCCGAGGGTGTTCCAGGAATGATCAGAATGGCGAGGGCCAGAACGTGTTACATGTACTAGTCAGAACGGACCCCAGTTGCCGTTCCCGGCAACTCAGGTCAGTGGCGGCCAACACAGAAACAGCGTGCTACTGTGTTGAGTGCGGGAGGCGCCCCTGATGCCACTGGACTCAATCCGAGCCGGCGGCGCCTTCGTCCGGGCCCACGGCCGGCTCGCCATCTCGATTTCCACTCGCCCGACGCGCTCAGTCTCCGCTGCCGGCTGCCGCAAGAGCGGCTGGCTCACGACAGCGTCTTGCCGGTTGTCGGATGGGAGAGTACAGAACGTCTTGAGTGTAACTGTGTACGTGAGATCGGTCTTGGTAACAAGCACAGTCGGTCTATCAGAAGCGATGCACTCGTTTCCGTTGCCCTCGGAGCTTGACACGAAGCTCAGCGCACCCCGCAAAACAGGAAGAGCCGTCCGGCAAGAAGAGCTCGACAGGGAGCGAGAACCGTTAGAGGTGCTCCGAGAGGTATCAGGACTCCGTCATAACACGGTAAGATCGCCCCAACAATGACCGCGCAGACGTCGGATCTCGTTGATATATCTTGCAAAATCTGCTCTTCCCGAGCCGGCAGCATGCAGAGAGGCGCAGAAAGGCTACGAGTGCTCGACGAGTTTTGAGACCTGCGCGGTCAAACCTGGGGGGAACTGACCGCACCATGACGGACGTCCGAAACCTGCGTGAGCACCTTTGACGGTTCTCGCTCCCCATCGAGCTCTTCTTGCCGCACGGCTCTTCCTGTGTGCCGGCACAGAGCTCCGTGCAAGCCGTCCAGCGAGATAGGAACGAGTATATCGCATCGACGGATCGACCGTGCTTGTTATCAAGACTGATATGACGTACACAGTGACACATCAGACGACACATATTCTCTCACCCGGCGGGCCGCCAAAACGCTCTCGACGAGAGCCACAAGAAGCCGTCCGCACAGCAAGCCGGTGGAGGCCGAGCGCGCGGAATCGATGATGGCGTGCCGGCCGTGGGCCCGGACGAAGGTCCTGGCTCGAAAACGCGAGGAGAGGCCGCCGTGTGCTGAGGGAGGGTGTAGAGGATGTAGAGTGTAGAGCGCTGTAGAGCTGTAGAGCTGTAGAGCGCTGTAGAGCGCTGTAGAGCTGTAGAGCTCTACATCCGCCGCGGGACGAAGCGCCTGCGTTGTAGAGCGATGTAGAGCGCGATTTTGTTGTAGAGTTTGTTGTAGAGGCTCTACAGCCAAACCGCCGGGAAGGCAGTGACTCAAAGAGGCCGAGTCGCACTAATGGGGTGTCTCCGAGCTTACTGGAGCTCTGATGGACGGCCCTGACTATCCCTGACACACAGAGAGTCACTCTGACGGCACACAACACCCTATAACTGCGTCATGACCAGCCTGCCATGCGTCGCCGGTGCCGCATTCGTCGCAGTGCTTCTGTAGCAGGCGGTGGACTGTCGGCTGCGAGGACGGTCGCATTTGCGCGAGGCGAGGCGAGCATTGCTGCGCGTTGCATGCGCCATGCCTCGCGCCAGCGCGTGCGGGAGCTCCTGGCTGAGCGTTGAGTCCAGGCGAGTTGCGCTGGCCACGATCGCTACGCCGAGCCGAGCTGACGCGCCGAGGCGCCGGCCAGTCGCAGCCGTGAGGCATGCCACAGCAGCAGAGGCACCTGCCACCCATTGGGCGGGCAGACAGAAGGCCAGGGCAGCACTGGCAAGTGCAACGCGCCTCATGTCGGAGAGCGACCGTGCCTCGTTCGCCGCTTTTGATGTAGAGTTTGTTGTAGAGATTTCACGTTGTAGAGCGCCTCTACATCGCTCTACAACGCAGGCGCTTCGTCCCGCGGCGGATGTAGAGCTCTACAGCTCTACAGCGCTCTACAGCGCTCTACAGCGCTCTACAGCTCTACAGCTCTACAGCGCTCTACACTCTACATCCTCTACACCCTCCCTCAGGCCGTGTGGGGCCACGGCGAGCCTCGGCGAGAAAGGTCAGCAGCCTATCTCACGCCGTCGGTTGGATAGGAGAGTAGGCGGGCTTTGGCCTCCGAGATCCTCCGAGGGAACGCCGAAAAGAAAAGAACTTTCTTTTTCGCGAAAGCAAATCGCTCCGGAACGGGTCATCTCTCCAGGATCGGCTCGAGGATCGGCGGGATTGCAACAGCGGTCACGAGATCGGTGCTTGCCGGTCTTTTGGGGGGCGCGCCGCCGGCGCGTCCCCACTTTTGTATGACACCTAGGGATCCCTAAGCGTGAAAGCTGTCATGGTGACACACTTCGCGGCGAGGTGACAGAGTGTGACACACTCTTCAGAGGCCGCAGGCCGGCGCGCAGCGCCACGCCGCCAGGCGTCCGCCGGAGGCCCGCCGGAGGCTAGTGCTGCGGCCACATTCCGGCAAGATTCCGCCGGCTCCTGATGCCTGCGCTGCGCTCAAACGTCGCGATTTGGCAATAGGCGCTCGAGCCGGCGCACAGCGGACGGGTGCGCCGCGCAGGGGGGTCGGGGGGGTGCGAGAGGGGGCGTGGGTCGGGCGCGCACCGGCCGGCCCCGGGAACGGCCGTCACGTCGAGGTGGGGGGTTGTCGGCGGCTCGAGCGCCGAGGCGTGCCGCTGCTGTGCCGTCGACAGCCCCTCTTCCGAGCCGGCGCGTGGCGGCGAGCCGCGGCCAGTGTCGCTTGTGCGGGGGCGGCGCAGCGTTTATCCACCCGCGCCCGCCCGCCCGCCCGCCCGCCCTCAGGCCTTGCCCCTCCGCAGGCGCGGGAGTGCTCGCCGGCCGCGGCAAGCACCTCCTACCTCTCCTCGCGCGTCAGGCAAGGTGGGGGCAAGCGTGGCGGCGCGGGACGCGCGGCGGCGGCGGCGAGCAGCCGAGCGCTCCGTGCGCGGTGAGGCGGCCGGGCGAGGGCGCGGCGGGTGACGGGGCAAGGGAGCAGCCGGGCGTGGAGCGGCAGAGCGCGCGTCTCTGGCTGACAGACGGAGCAGCGACACCGCGCCAGCGGTCGCTGCTCCGCCCCTCCGTCGCGCGCGCCGCGCGCGCGCTGCGCCGCTGCCACTGTTATCACTGGAGAGCGTGAGCCGTGGCGTGTGTGCGGGAGCCGCACGGTGCGGCGAGAGAGGTCTCCACACTCCAGAGGTGAGAGCAACCCAGCAAGCGCGCGAGAGTGGAGAGACCCGAGAGACGGTGCGGCGAGAGAGCGCGTGTTTTCTTGTTGTAAAATACTCAAACACATGCCCTCCAACCGGGTGGCGCGCGGCGGGCCGGCAGCGCCGAGCGCTGCACCTGCAGCGTGGCGGCTGGCGCCCTGGCGCGCACCGCACATCTCTAGAAAACCCCGGCTCTATGAGATCATGGAAAAAAGCATGAAATCTATATGAAGCGTGATTTCATACCGGATTTGTGATTTCACAACGCAAGATTCATGGGCATGATATCACACTCCGACCGTGAAATCACAGCTGGCTGGCGCGAGCGAGTGTCCCGTGTTCATAGCAGATACATGTCGGTCCGTTTGAGGCCTTCCGGTGGTCGAAGCGACCCGGAAGCCGCCGCCACAGGGGGCACCCACGCGCTAATAGCCCTACGGGGTAGTGAGCTGCGAGCAGGTGCGATACCGGGCCGCAATCATAGCGAGCCTGGCTGACGCTCTCGACGCAGAGGATCCGCTGTTCCGCCTGAACACTGGGGGGTCAGGGGGCGGATGCGCGCAGCATCGAGGTCGTGCAACGAGTCGAGCCATCGGATGTAGCACAGCTGCTCTGGCCCAAGGTAGCGCGCGATAAAGCAGAGAATGAGCTGGCCGTACCACAGCTTGCCCTGGCCATCGACATCCACAGCAACAAAGACAGGGGCCTCGCCGGTCGGCCGCACCTCTTGCCGCGTCTCATCCTGGCAGAGGGCGGCGTGTAGCTTCGAGCCGCCTCGCTCTGCTGCGCGGAAGTTGGCAGGCCATCGCTGCACTGCCACGCCCGGTCGAACCTCAAGTAGCGAAGAAGTGAGGCTGGGCATTCCACCGGGGAACGAGGCGTCGTCGCTGCCGCCGCCCGTGGCTTGATGCAAATACAAGGCCACGGAGAAGGGAAGCTGAAGGAGGGAAGGGTGGATGTTTTGCGCAGCCCCAAGGTCGATTCGGCACACCGTCTCTCGAACCCCCATCAGCCGGCTGGGTGGGCCAAGCTGCGGCGACGCGAGAGGCGGCGGAGGCGCAGGCGAGGCGTCGGCCCTCTCCGCAAGTTGCAGCAGCAGCTTCGCCTCTCCCTGCGCGTGCAGTCCACGGGCGTCGTCGCGGAGCTTCATCTCGACACGGCACTGGTTGCTACGAGCGGCGGCGGAGCTGATCACGAGCGACGAATTCGCAGGGGATGCCAGGCAACAGATGTGCGCGGGCGCGCAGATAATTGGCGTGGCGTCCTAAACAACGCACTATGCACGCTGGTAACTGATTTTGGCCCATGCGCATGCTCTTCCTCGTGCTCGTCGCGCGCTCGGGAGCCGGAGTGGCGGGGTCGGAGCTGCTGCAACGGCGCGAGTGGCCGCGAGGGGTCGTGCTGGGGCTCGCCAGAGAACGAGGCCACGGCGCGGCGCTCGCGGCGGCGCACGGGGCAGCTTTGAGCAGTGCAGCGCCTCAACATCAGCTTCAAGCAGTGCAGCGCAACGCCAGTGGCCTCTCTGGAGCTGTGCGGCGGCTGGCGGGCCTGTGCGACGACGCCGATCCGTGGGCTCGGGACGCGCAGTCGGTCGGCTCGCGTGCCGGTTGCCGAGTCAGCCTGGCTGGCGAGAAGCGCCAAGGCCTTCCCTGCATTCTGGGCGCTGCCCAGAAGTGCGCAGTGCCTTTGCTGCGCCGACGGGCGGCCTCGATGCGGATTGCCGCGAGTGGCGTGGGAGCCTCCAGTGGCACGGTCGTTGGTCAACACCGCGGCGCGCGCGCGCCGCGGGTGCTGCACAACAAGCGGAGGGCATGGGCGGGCGCTCTGTCGCTTTCCGGAGCCCAACTTTGACTATCGATTGCCGCCGGTTATTATAACCGGTGGGAGATCGTTCCGGCAGACGGGGGGATTCAACGCGGCGATAACTGCCCGAGACGTCCCTAACCTTTATTTATTTCTGCCCTGCTTCAGGAACCGGAGGCCGTCTTCCTCAACCAACCAAACCTCATTACCGACTGCCGGTCGTTGGGGACACGTGACTCCTGCAAAGGGCAGTGTCTCCACCCGGGAGTCGGACATTCCAAACCCCCCCCTGCCCCCTCTCTCTCCCCCCCCCATCCTAGCCCTCCTTCTCTCTCCTCCTCTTTCTTTCTCTCCTTCTCCCTCATTCCCCCCCCCTCCCCCCTCTCCATCTTTGCCGCCCCCGTGCCAACCCCCAGGGCCACGCCCCCCCGAGCCTGGAGAGGAGCCGGCGGAGGGGGGGGGCGAGCCGAGGACGATAGTGAAGCCGCGGGTGCGGGCGCGAGACAACCAGGGAGAGCGGGCTCGACCCCCCGGGGGTGGAACTGGTCGCGACCCAATGCCACCGTTCTCGCCCGGGGTGACCCCGGCCGGGCCGCCGACACTCTCAGAACCGGTGGAGCTGGGAGAGGCTAGCGAAGACGAAAGGCGGCAGCGGAGGAAGCGACATCAACAACGAGGGAAACGACCACACCGGCCGTCGTATGACGCTCGGCAAGCGAGCAAGAGAGCGAATCGGGGAGAACCGGAGCCCCGGGAGGACCGAAGGTGGAGCCCCGGGACCGAGGACTAAGCAAGTGTCTGTTTGGGCGTGGTGTCCAGTGTAATGTCCACTAGCTCCGAGTAGAGGGGGCGTCCTGCAGTTAAGGGGAAACCCGGTACGCGGGTCCAACCCTCGGAGAACTGTGTTTACTTTAAGGCCCTTGCCCTGCGAACGCGCACCCCCGGGGCTAGGGCTCTCTAGCCCGTAACCCGATGCCAATCATCCGGCCCGCTGGGTGCGCTTCTGAGCTCCCCGGCCCTGGATGTGCGGTTGATGACTGCACTCCAAGTGCTCCAAGTGCACGAGCATGCTCAACTGCTGCGCGACGCTCTCTGCGACCCCGACTTTCTTTATGCGCTTTGCCATTCGAGAGTTTTTGCCATTCGCCGCCGCATTTCCTAAAGCGACACTAGCACTAGATGCGTCCTGGCATCGGGAGGGTCCGCCTAAGTGCTAAGAGGAAGTATGCATGTACTTTGTGCGTGGAGTGTCTTCCCCTTTTGCGCAGCAATACCTTAAACTTTTAGGCCCTCCAAATTCGGGTCGGAGCGTAGCGGAGTGGGCCCCGAGTTTGAAAAGCAAAAGGGCGACGGACGCTTGCGTCCTAGCCTCCAACATCGCCTCCCCGGCGCAGAGGGGCCCCCGGAGGGATGCACAACCGCTCCACGCCACGCCGCTCGCGGCGGTCCTATTCCCAGCTCCGCTGAGGGCCCCGACGTTGTAATACTTTTTGCGGATACCCCCACCGTAAGCCGGGGCGCGGGTGTTCGTCGAGCGCTGCCCCGCGACCGACTCTTCATATCAAGCTGCTCTCCGGCGACACGCGCGAGGTGCTCGACGAGCCCTGCCATGTCCCATGAGCGGTGCGCTGCGCTATTCGGCGAACCGCACCATCGCACCTGAACATGTCCACCGCTCACCTACCGACTTCGCCACAGACGGCCCCGCGCCTCGCCGCTATGTGACGGCGGCACGGCCGCAGCTCGTGTGCATGCCGCCGTCATAGCAGATTCCGACCAGCGCTCTATGCTCGTCGGCGGCGGCTTCCTCCAACCTGCGCCGCGCTCGGCGAACCTCGACAGCGCCTCCGGTGGCATGCAGCTCTTTGCGACAGAAGCCTGGAGAGCAGCTCCTCTGCTGCTCACACGCTCTGCACAGTTGACACAGCCTACTGTGCGGCTGCCACAGCTGTGACAGCGATGGGCTCGCCCTCACTGGCCCTCAGTCACTTGTGCTGCGGCTTGTGTGAGCGACACTGCTCGGCGACTGCCGGCACACTGTGAGACCATGGGTCTCCCTCCCTCCCTCCCTCC